CTTTATACCAAAATGGCGAGTCCAAGGAAATCCGAAGGCAAAAGATTTACCAGAATACCACGTCTAAAGAGACTGAAGAATACCTAAAAAAAAAGGTTGAAAAAAATAGGAAAGGAGGAAGAGAGAAAGAGCAAGGGAAAGGAAGACGAGAAAGAGAGGGAAATGGGGAAAAAGGAAAGAAAGGGAAGTGGAGGGGAAAACCGAAGAAGGGGAAAGGGGAAAAATGAAAGAAAGGGAAAGGGAAAAAAACGAAAGAAAAAGGGGAGAAAAAAGAGGGCCAAAAGAGAAAGGAAAATTACAAGCAAAAAAAAGTTTAAGCTTAAACTAAAAAAAAGCTTGCTTTTAACGGTAAATGATTGTCTGCGGATCATCATTAATCCCGATGTAACTAGACAAATCAACTATAAACACATACTAAAAGTATTAAGTTTCAAGGTGTCCTTAAAAGTGTTCTTAGGAAGAATAAAAGTCCTAAACCATTCTAAATAAAAAAAATCTGATAAGAAAATAGATTCAATTTAAATCAAAAAAAAAAGATTCCCATCACGAAATTCATACCTGAAAGTTCTGTAATAAAAAATCAATTAAAAAAATTAAAAATAAATTCAATTAATAAAAAAGAAATTAATAAAAACAAAATTCACACCTGAAGGTTCAAAAAAGAAGTTCTGAAGCGTCTCCAAAAGATCCTGAAGTTCTAATAAAAAAAAAATCAGTTAAAAATAAATTCAATTTAAATAAAATAGAATTAATAAAAATAAAACTCCCACCACGAATACCTGAAAACTCAAAAGAAAAGTTAGCGTTCCTAAATAAAGAAAATAAAATTCCCATGCGTTAAAAAAAATGAGAAACAACTTATACCCGTAAGTTCAAAAAAAAAGTCCCAAAGTATCTAAAAAAACAAATCAAATTAGTTGAGAAAAAAGAAAGACGACCACTCATAAAATTTGTACCCAAAAGACCAAAATGAAATAGCAAATGAAATTAATAAGACTTTCACTTACAAACTCATACCTAAAATTCGAAGTAAAGTTCCAATATATTCCTAAAATAATAAAAATAAAACTATTTAAAAAAAAGACTTCCATTTATGAAGTTGAAATAATTGATATGACTCCTCCACTATAAAATACAGGTCCAAAAACACCTACCTTAATTCTAAATTATAGAAAGAAAAAGCCTAGCACTTGAAATTTAGAGAAAAATGTTAGTTTCAAACGAAATCTATAAAAAAAAGGTATATAGGAAGCAAAAAAAAGAGAATAACTATTCTTTATTTTTATTTTCGATATGGAATACACAAACCTCTAATTTCCAATAACAGAAAAAATATTCTAATGTTTATTTTTTACTTTTGGGTTTAAAGCGTTACATTGCATAAATGCGGTGTTACATTTGACCTAAAATTTGTTAATTTTACCATATTGGGCCGGAATTATAATTTAGGATCATCAATTTTTAAACAGTTCGAATTCTTCATATATATACTGTATATTTAAAAAATATACTAAACTGGGACACAATTTATATTATATCGATCATAATATAAAAAAATATTGTTACATTGTAATATAAAAAATATTAAGGTGTTACAATGGGGACTTGGGGTGTTTTGATGCATTTCTTAGTTGAATTATCATGTGTAATTTTTGGTAAAGGAAATTGATTTGCATTTACCCCTTGAGACTTTTCATCTAATCGATAAAATTTACCATTACATCACAGAAACAAAAAAAAAAGTAAAAAAAATGAAGAAAAAGAGATCATCAGATGATTTGTACTATGCAATTCGTCTGATAATCTAATTTTCCCTATAATCCAATTTTTTTTTTTAATAAAACTAGCTTGCTTCGCACCGGGACCAATGAGTTTTTTTAAATAGAAAGATTTAGTATTATAATGTAATACTAAGTAAATTAATTTAATATGCTAATAATTACGTAATAAAAAATATGTATTAAATTATATTTATAATATTAGAATAATGATATAAATAATAAATTATTTTTAGAATAATGTAGCTATTTATATTAATGATTTGATGTTTGAGTGTAGAGTGAAATTCGGAATTGTGAAAACCACAAATATTTTTATTAATTAATTATAAATTTTATAATTATTTCTTATTATTTTATATTACGTCAATTTTAAACTTATAATCAACTTAGGATATTAGAAATCTGTTCATTTCATTTATTTTATTCTTTTGATACTCATTTTATTCGATAAATTCTAATTCAAATAGTTTAGTTAAATTAATAATTTTTATTCAAAAATCTGGTGTTTATTTAGAGAATTTCGGATATGGATTTGGTTATAATAATCTATTATTAAATCAACTATTTCTTTAATTAATTAATTATAAAATATTGTAAAAATATCAATATTTTTATGAATTTGAGAATCAACTGTATTAGTTGATTGGATTGGAATGTACACGGATAAATAAATCAGGTGGAGGCATGTTACGGGTTTTAATTATATGGCATGGATTTCAAGTTACACAATTCAAGTAACTAATCCATCAGAATAAAAAAAAAAATACATTTAAAATTTTAATTAACTGTAAATGTATTAGTCGGTTAATATGATATAATTATGATATGATAATTACGAAATAGATCGAACGCACACTTTTCAATGTTACACAATTCAAATTATTTATACAGGGTGATCTAAATATGACAAAATTTTTTTAATCAGATAGATTATAAAATAGTTTCGGGAAGTTTCAGTAATTTTGGATAATTTTGATAGTTTCGGATTGACTAAATTTCTGAAACTAGCTTTACTGTTTCAGTTTCGGCATATGACTGAAACTTCAGCACCACTATTTGGTGTAACGCATCTGTTCCATTGTTATGCAAAAATGTACAAGTGATTTAAGTTGTTTCAAGGCGTTTCAAGGTATATTTATATGTAAAAAAGTAAAATGAATACAGCGAAAAATCCAATTTTTTCATATTAAGTATTTAGAATTTATTATTTTGCAAAATAAATCCGATAAAAAGTAATAAAAAATTCACGATTGTAATTTTGAAAATGGCAATAAATGCACAAAAATGTCACTGCATTAAATATCACACATCAATTAGCACCTGTACTGTATAATTATTAATTATATTAAATACATACGTGACAAATAGACTATAATTTTAACCCAATAATAAGATCGTTTGAAGGTCACACTTTACTGTAGACTTCACTAATAAATGTATAATTAAAAAATAAATTATAGCCAAAGTACTAAAATTACGCCATAAAATTTTTTTTGTTTTAATTTTTATTTCATTTATTTATATTTTAATATTTATTTTTTCAGCCTTCTGAAAGTATGAAGAAAAAAACATTTTTTTTTTTAAAAAAAAAAATGGAAAAAAAAATCTAATCTTCCTGCGGGTTCCTAGAAAAAGATAGTTACAATCGAACTACAGTTATTATAATAAATAATTATTGTATAATATTCACTTACTGCTGAGATTCATTTTTAAGACGTTTTTCTAAAAATAATTGATATTCTTGATCATTCATCCAAGGTGGAACTGGCGGTTTTCCTTTGTACTTACATTCCTCCTCTTCTCCAACACCTAATACAATACTCTTGAAATTCAGTTAGGATTTCAGGACACTTTTGTATCCAGTGACCTGGAGTGTTACAAAAGTAACATATGTTTTGCTTCTAGGGAAAAAGAAATACAAGAGAAAAAAAGGCGTAAAGAAAATTTTTTTTTTTGTAAAGTATTTAAGAAATTATTTTTTTTTGTATGGATGGATAAATAAATTTTTTTTGTACTCAGGGGTAAAGAAAAATTTTCTTTACCTCCTTGAATACTCACACGATTAATTAAACCAAAAAAAGGGATCCTTTAATTCTATTGGTATTTATAATTTTAATGGTTTCTAAATTTGTTAAGACTGATTTTTTTTACGCGAAATTTTTTTTTTTGCATATACTGTAAAATAATGATGCAAGTTTATTTTTGATTTAATCCGTGTATTACAAATCTTATTTTGACGTAATCTATAATCAATACTTTTCCAATTTAAAATCTAATTTTTTATTTTACTTTACGCTATAAAAAATAAATGTACAAATGTGAATAATTTATAAAACCTAATAAATAGAATAAAACTACAATACTTACTTGTTGCCAATCTTCGAGACCTTCGTTGATCATTTTTTTGTTTTTTGTTAGCATGGTCATCTTTTAAATTGGATCCTATTGCTCTTTTCAATTTCTTTTTACCCTTTTTCTTATTAGATGCTAGATTATAAGAATTATTTGATTCAGATTATTTAATTTCAGAATTTTCAATTTCAAAAATTTTATCATAGTAATTCTTTACCTTGATTTGAATTATCACCAAAAGGCTCTTGATTTTCCTGTTGACAAAAAATTAACAAATTTATGTTTATATTTATTATAAAGCATTTAAATTTTCTTTTAAAAAATCAAAATTAAATTTTTATATATTCTCATCTTTACCTTATATTGAGAGTGTTCTTCAATAATATTCGTATTTGTCAACACTTCATTATCTGGTTCTTCGTGCACTTCATTATCTTGTTCTTCTTGTACTTCATTATCTTGTTCTTTCTGCTTTTCACTATTATTTTTTTCGGCTTCTACCTGATTTTTTTTATCTCGGAAATATTCGCCTAAACCAAAAGAAAGTTATAAGAAGCAATAAAATTTGTAACAATTTATGACACTTACGCTTATTATTGATTATTCCACGTGCCATTTCTTTTATAGCCCAATCGTTAGCACAATTAGGAAAATTGGGATTTTTTTGTTTAAACTAATATATTAAATAAGTTAAAACATAACCAAATTATTTAAAATATATTTAATTTATAGAATTACCAATTTTATAAGGTTTAAAATTCTTTTCATATCCTGATCTTTCCATTTTTTATCTAATTCTAATGATCCGGCTTTGATCAGATCTCGTAGATCACCCTAATAATTTAATATAAATACGTTAATTTTTAATTATTACATTTTGAAAGAAATAATTATTATAAAGTTAAAATTTACCCGATATCCTTGATAATCACTTTTTTGTAAATTTAATACTTTACAGATATTTTTAGCTGTACTGCCCTGCGGTTTTGCAACAGTAGATGTACGTGATTCTAATTGACTTGAAGCTTGAATTGACGTAACTTCTGGTTTTGGTTGATTTAAAGAAGTTCGTGATTCAATGGAGGATGTTGATGCACTTGAAGATACTGAAGATCTTCTTAGTAACTAATAAAAAAAATTTTGGCATTATATTAAAGATGGCAAAGCATTATATAATATATATATTTTCTTTTCCTTTTTTTTAATAGTACAAATATAACATTTATTTTATATTTCATATTAGAAATTTCATACATTTTGGTTAGATTCTTCCATTACTCCTTGATCGTGTTTTTTAAGTTGTTCACGTAATTCTTGATTTTTTTTGTTTATTAATTTTAATTGAAACTGTAAATCTTGTATACTAGTCACTATTGAAAATTTTTATGGAAAAATAATTTAATGTTCAAAATTAAAATTAAAAGAAAATTGTTTGTAAAATAAATTATACTTACTTTGATTAACAGGTATTGCTTTTTTTCGCGTTGACATTATAAACTAGACTTTTATAATGAAGCAGATTTTTTTAAATCTTGACGTGTCTTTTTATAAAATTATTTGTAAAAATGCTGGATTACTTTTTTTAATACACCCACATGTTATTTGTTAATAAAGTATACAAATAATCTCTAGATTTATCTCGCAGACATCTGTTTGTGTCACAAAAAATATCTCTATATACCACATAAAACCTTATTTTAATAGCTACTTATATAGAAAAAAAAGGAGTAAATAACTTTGATACAATGTGAGTTAGAATGTTAAATTTTTTTTTTCTTTCCAGTTTGTCTTAGAATACGATCTTATTCAGATGATTCAAGATTTTTATTAGATTTGATATAGAAATTTGTAGATCTTTTTTTTAGACGAAAACGTTGATAATCAATAAATTTATTTTTACTTGAAATATGACGCATGGAAAAAGTTATTAATAGTAATAACTAGTAGCTAATTTTTTTTATGTAAATTTGTAATTTATAATTAATATATCAGATATACAATAAATAATTTTGCTATAATGAACCTATTTGACAATACGATGATAATAAGCTATTGTTCTCAGTATTCTTAAACAACACCAATGTGTTGCAAACAAATCCGTTTTCAATTGTGTTCAATTTGTGCTGATAATCCTAATTTTAACCAAATTTTGTTAAATTTGTTGAACTTATATTAAAATCTCTCTCAAAGGAGGAGTTATTTTAATTTTATCATATAGGAATGATGATTACAGAACCGGTAGCTCCTTATTTTACATTATAATAATATGAATTGACAAATTTACTCCAATCGGCACGGCGTTTTACCTGTGTTAGTAATTTATGTATATATTTGTTTAACAATGCAGGATGATTTTTTATACAAATTACACTATATGACAATTACGTATGCATTAATTAAGGGATGTACAAAATATTCTGTGTGCAGCGGCTGATAATTATTAGAAAACTCGCAAGATGACACTGTGCCACCTAATGATTCCAAAAAAAGCTAAAAGCAAATTATCAAGCATAACACAATTCAAAGTATTTATATGAAGGGTAATCTAAAGTCCCCACAAATTTTTTAGTATGTAGATTATAAGAGATGATCTGAAACAAATATAGATTAAATTTTATGTAAGATCAAATTACTACTAAAAATAAAATAATTGTACGTAACTATAAACTTTTTTTTAAAAAAAATCTTTCATCTTAATTTTATATGATGTCTCAAAATCCAGAAACTATATTTTGCAAATGTTTTATTTGTAAAGGGGAACACCCAGAATTAGGTGGTAAAATTGTTTCAATAGGAACCTTTAGAAGACATAGAAAAAAAGAGTCAACTTGGAGCAATAGTACGAGTATACAAAATATTATTTCTTCTGCCGAAAATTTGGAATTCTTATCAAATAGTTGTCTAAATCTTAATATTGACGAAAGGTGGGTTTTTTGGTTAATTTATTAATATAATAAAATTTTACTAATAAATATGAATTTTATAGTAATAGAAATAATAATATGTATGGAGAACAATTTCAAAATGATTTTCAAAATGATTTAATCATGAATGAATCACAGTATAATTCAAGTGATGAAGAATCACAAAACAACAATGAAGATGAAGAATCACAAAATAACAATTCAAGTGATGAAGAATCACAAAACAACAATGAAGATGAAGAATCACAAAATAACAATTCAAGTGATGAAGAATCACAAAATAACAATTCAAGTGATGAAGAATTGCAAAATGACAATTCAAGTGATAAAGATGAAGAATCGCAAATCAACAATTCAAGTGATGAGGAATCACCAAATGAAGATGAATTGCAAGATTATTATATGCGAGAGATTCAAGAATACGAATACAATTATGATATGCAAGAAGTGCTATTTCAAGATGATGAATCATCTGGTAGTTTATTTTTAAATAATGGTAAGTTTTGATAAATATCTTTAATATTAATTGAATATAAAGCAAAATTAATATTAACAGAATTTCAAAAAACTGAAATAGATGAAACCAAATTGAATATATCTGAAGATTTGATACATGCATTGCGGCTTTTTGAAATTAAAATTCGATGCAATTTAACTGATAATGCATTTAATGAAATAATGAAAGCTGTATGCAATACTCCAATCAGTATTTACCAAATAAAAACTACATTGAAAAAGTTAGTTGACATTGAACCACAATGGGTTGACATGTGTATTAACACTTGTTGTGCATATACTGGACAATTTGAGAATAAAACACAATGCCCTTATTGTGCTGCATTCAGATATCAAGAAATTGATCAAAATCACCAAAAAAAACCACGTTATCAATTTGCATATTTTTCTCTTAAAAAGCGTTTAAGAATACAGTATGAAGATTCAAATCGTGTAGATGAATTACGATATCGATACACGTATATGTCACGTGATGGATTTGGTAATGATGGCAAAGTAGGAGATGTATTTGATGGTAAATGTTATTTGGATCTTTTAAAAATGGGATATTTTCAAGATGAACATGATATTGCACTAATTGGATCTGTTGATGGTTACCAGATCTTTCGACAAAAAACTGATGATTGTTGGGTTGTATTATTTATAAATGCCAATCTTCCACCAGAAAAACGAGTACTTAAGGAAAATTTATTAATTACATCAATAATCCCTGGACCAAAAGAACCAAAAGATTTTAATTCTTTTATGAACCCAATTATTGATGAACTTAAAGAATTAGCTGGTTAAGTTTCTTTATAATTATTATAATTATTGTTTTAATTCATAAAAAATTTTTAACTGAAACTTTATTTTTTACAAATAGAAGGCGTTGATTGTATAGATGGTAAAACTAAAAACCATTTTACTTTAAGAGCACATATTTTGTCTTGGTCTGGAGATACACCAGGTCTTACAAAGTTAATGGGTTTAACTGGACATAACTCCTATAAAGGATGTCGCTATTGCAATATTAAAGGTCTTTATTTAAATCATGTATACTTTCCTACCACCCCCCCTATAGGTTTTAATTCAGGGAGTTATGATGCAAATAATTTACCTTTAAGAACACATGATGAATATATAAAAAATATACAAGATTTGGAATGTGCAACAACACAAAAAGAACTTGCTGCTTTACAACAAAGTTATGGTAAATTGCCATTTTAATTATTTTAATATAATATATTTTTATTTACTTTGTAATATATTAATGATTAACTTATTATTATATTAGGAATTAAACATCAGAGTATATTATTTGAACTATATTCAATAAAATTTCCATATTCATTTGCATTAGATATAATGCATTTAATGTTTGAAAATATCGCAAAATATATGTTCAAACATTGGAATGGCACATTTTTTAATAATAGTAGCGAGAATAATGGTATGTATATTCTTAATACAACCACATGGAATGTAATAGGAGATTTAATGCACAAAGCTCGCAAAACATTTCCATCCTATCTTGGACGTCCTCCCCGAAATATTGTCCATCATCATGCTGGTTATAAGGCAGAAGAGTGGTCATCCTGGATTACAATGTATTCCTTACCATTGTTAAAAGATCAGCTTCCAATAAAATATTATGAAGGTTGGGCTCTATTTGTCAAAGCAGTTAAATTATGCAAAAAATTACATTTGACTAATGAAAATATATTTGAAATACAAGAATTATTATTAGCTTTTTATAAGCATTATGAAAGGTAAGTATATACTAGCCTATTTCAGAAATTTATATAATATACAATATTGATTTTAGATGTACTAATATTAATTTTTATGTATAGAGAATATTATTGTAATATTAAAGAACGTATTAGTACAATGAAACTTAGTTTTCATTATCTATTGCATGTTGCTGATAGTATTAGAAATACAGGACCTTGCTGGGCAACATGGCAATTCCCTATGGAACGAGTTTGTGGCATGTTGCTTCCGCTTGCAAAATCACGTTTGCATCCGTATAAAAATATTATTAATACAGTACATTTTTTAGAGTTATTTAATCATCTATCTTACCGGCGAGAGATTTATAACCAGATTTTTCCATCACAACCTCCAAAGCGACATGCTCAACAACATCTCATATATTCTGATGAATATTATTTAGAAGAATTTTACTTTCCTTCTAAAGATTATACTCTTTCGCCAAGTGAACTTAAGAAAATAAAGGAAAATCTTTCAACATCATATGATATAGCTGGACGAAATTTAGATGTATGTATTTTCTTAAATTTGTTTATTAAAATTTTGAATTATTTTAATGTAATTTATTTCAGACTTTTTCAAAAGATGGCATAACCTTTGGACGAATGTTAACTAAGGATAAATATTTTATTGGATCAAAATGGATTCATAAAAATAACGATTGGAGTAGAATTAATTATACTGTAAAAGCAAGTATAGCAGATTGTTAAAATTCTTTTATTAGAATTATATGTTAATTGACTTCTAATAAATATTTCTAGGTAACAATGCAAATTGATAAATGGGCAAGGTTTAAGCATCGCCAACCTGAATATATAAAAAAATCTTATTATGGAATTATTGAATTTTTTTTTTTATATAACTTTGATGGTCAAAATGAGATGTTAGCATACATTCATTGGACGAAACCAGTTACTGAGGATCGTGTGGGAACATTATCTTTTAGTGGATTTAGTTATTATGATTTTATAAGAGTATCAGCTATAGATCGATGTGTTGGCTTTTTTCAGCTTGGAAATAAATATTATATTATCGATAAAGATACTGAAATTTCAGAATGAATTAATGAAGGATAGAAGAATATATTTATTAATTAATCATTCAATAAATATTTAAAGGTCTTATTAATTTTTATTACTTATATAAAACATGTTTGTTAGTTGTCCAAAATTTGTCCGGAATTTTTATTTATACATATTCTGGACGTTTTCTGTATTAAATAAAGTATAAAATTTTTTTTTAAAAAATTTCTTTATGTATTCTGGACATTTTTTATATTGAGGAAACATTTTAAAAAAAAGTCCTATATATTTTGTACGTGTTCTGTACATTTTCTGAACATTTAAACTATTAAAAAAAAATTGTTAATCATTTTTTGGGACAAATAATGGTTATTTTCCGGACATATTTGGATACACCCGAACATTTTCTGGACATTTTTGATAACAATTTCCGGACATTTCTTATTTATAGGGCTGGCCTGCATTATACCATAATTATGAGGTCCTTTTCCGCCATAGAGTGCAAGAAAAGGTGTTTAATAACGGATAAAAATACGGTATTTAGTAAACGAAAAAAAAATGGAAAAATACATATCATTTAGAAAGTGTAAAAAATTGTCATAATATATATTTTCGATGAAACTTATTTTGCCATTAATTATTGATTTCCTAATTAATAATTAAAGATTAAAAGACATTTTCTGGTAGGCCATAATTAACGGCCAAAAGATAATTTAATTTATATTATATAAATGGAAACTTTCGATTATTTTTAAAATAATATTGGAATTTGAAGATTTATCTATTACAGCATTATACGCAAGGCGGGCGTGATTCGCAATATATACAGTATATTATACACGGTGTTCAAAAAAAGTCTTCAGAAAAATTTTATTCCCATCAATATTTAGCTAATAAATGACCTAAAAATGTATGAGTTTTATAGGTAACCAGCTTTTAAGAATATTTTTGTCTTAATGCACAATATGTAATTTCTTCATAAAATTTCGTGTTATAATGCATTAAATTCAATCAGCTGAAATGTTAACGGGGTTTTCTATTTTTTAAAATGTTAATTTTAATTTAATTAAATATACTTTATAAAATAAAAAAAAAAAGCATTAAATTTTATTGTTTATTTTTTTCTGATTATTGTTTATGTAATTTAAATATCATAAAATAAAGGATATATCTGCAAATTTTCATATACCTCCGACATTTATTCGTTACACAATTAATAAAAATATTTTTCCGGGAACTTGTTTATTATATTTTTATAAATAATTTAATTACTAAAATTTATTTTAATTGGCTATATTTACATATGTATATTAACCAGATTTGGCCGGCAAAAATTTAAATTTTGCCCCGTCATCACATAGAACTTCGTCGATTAGAAAGCCAAAAAAGTGTAAAAGACAATAATAAATACTTAAATAGTGAATTAATTTGTGTTTTCATATAAAATAAATTCAATTTAGAAATTTGTATTTGTAGCTCAAGGCATTAATTATTGAAATTCACAACATGCCTAAGAAAAAATTATAGACTCCACCCACTTTAACGAAAAAATTAAATAATTACTTCGAGAGAAAGATTCATACAAACTAGTGCTCCAAGACCGGTTTAACTGATATTTCTTTTTTAGGTAAATTGAAACTGGTTTGACATGTCAACCAAACCGGTCTCCGATCTGAAACCGGATTTACAGCTGTTTTCATAAGACCTGGGACAAACTAAATTTTTGAGCCCGATCCGCCGATCCGCTGATCCGGTATTTTTAACTGGGCACGTGATCCTGATTTGATAGTTTGATTTGTAAAATAAATAACAACTGAACCGGATCGGTGGGTCGGCGGTCGGGTTCAAAAATTTAGTTTGTCCTAGGTCTTATGAAAACAGCTGCAACTGAGTAATAACTTATTAATAATATTTATTTTATGTGAAATAACTTGTTAATAATATTAACAATTCAATGAAATTTTCTCCATCGCTGTATAAATCACGTGATATCCAAAAAAATTTGAGTATTGCCGTGATTGTCACCTTACCAGAATTAGGGTAGAATTTCGGGCAGAATTAAAAATGTCATGAAACTCTGCCCGTTAATGCGAGAAGGCCAAATAATTATGTAGATCTTTCCTTTATGGATATCTGGTTATCTTTGATAATTCTAGTCAGGAAATTATTTCCTTTTTTAGATACTGGATGGCGTTATTATAATTTTGACTCTGAAGGAGATGCTTAGAGATAATAATAAATTTTTTTTTAGATGCACTTTAACCATATATGAGACTTTTTCATTTTATTTGCTGTTTTTGTTATTTAAAAAATGTAACATCTCCGTTATTTCCGTTTTGAAGTATATTGTAATTCCATACTTGATTTATTATTATTAAAATTTTTTTAAAGAGAATTTCAATAGTAAAAAAAATTTTTTTTTTATTTACTGTATATTTTTCTTTCATCAATAAAGATAAATTTGGCAAGATTCAGTTTTTTTCTTTGTCATTAACGATTATTCATTCAATATTTATAACAAGGTGTTTTATTTGATGATTGTTACTCATTCAAAACCTTCAAAAAGAAAGATAAATGACAAATTAAGGAGTATATTATTATTTTTCCATTTCAGTTTCAATTTTAAATTTAACACAAATTCTTCATAATTGCCCACAAAAGAAATGCGTATATACGGTGTGTATATATAAATGATTTTATGTTACACAATCCGTCATAATCACAAAGAAGTTCTTTATGAAAACTATAATGACTTTAAAGACTATATTATGATACAAACAGAGGTTTATTTTATTTAGAATTTTAAGCAAGGAATTTTTAAGTAATTAATTAAAATTTTATAGAAACCCAATTGGTATAAAACGATAAAAACACAGCCTTATATTTTTCTTACTAAAATATGAGATATTATTTGAAAATTAATAACATAAAAATATCAATAATAATAATTAATAATAAATTTTATTAGTTTTTTTTATGTATGTGAAATTCAAAATTAAATGATAAGGCTCGATTAGTGTTCTGAAAGGGTCGAGTTGGGTCGAGTCGGGTCGGGTTTGAGGATGTATTCGAACTCGACCCGAGTATAAAAAACCCGTACAAATACCCGGGTTAATATTTACATGACCCGACCCCTGACCCGACCCGATATAGTTTAACCCCCGGATAACCCGGGTCCAAATAAAATTTTCAGATGTTTAAAATATATAATTTTTATTAAATCCTCCTACGCCCAGCCTGATTTCAAACATATACACGCGAGATTTGTATTTGGTTTTAGATTGCTTCTTTTGGCCGGTTCCCCCAGAAAATATCTTCAACTGTAACACTTTCAATTACAGGTAAAAAAAAAATTTGACCAATTTTAATATTATTAAATGATTACTCTTACCATTGCTGCTAGGTGTGAAACTGTGAATACTTTACTATAGTTAACTAGTATATTTTCAATAACGAATTAATAAAACTAATAAAATATACTAGTTATTATTAAACACATACCTTCCATCATAGTAGAACATCTTGATTTCGATCTGCTCAAGGGTTATAGACTTCTTAATTAAGTTCGTTTTCCAAGAGTTAATTTCTCAGCCTCACTCATTTTATACACAAACAAAGTTAGAAATTAAAAATCGTGTAATATAAACGTTTAAATATAAATATTTGATTAAACCCGGGTCAACCCAGGTCAACCCGGGTCAAGCAAAGGTGGACGGGTCGGGTTGAATATAAGACTCGCGTCAAATAATGATAAACCCGATTCAGATTTTAAACACGGGTCGGGTCAAATGACCCGGGTTTGACCCGACCCTTTCGGAACACTAAACACAGCCATCTGAGTAAAATTCATAGCTCCAAGTTTCCTTTAACAATCTTATTGCTAATTAGTTAACACTACATACATATATTATATATTACATAAGACAAATAATCCAAGAAAAATTTTTTATTTATATTATTTGTGTTAAAAAATAAAAGTTTATGAAAATCATGTGCTCTAACTTACATGGACATATTCTAAATTTGTATTTTTTATCTCACCATTAAAGATATTTTCAAATCATGTTCAGTTGTAATAATTGCCTTATTTAATAGCCTATTTAAAACGCAAAATCGATTATAAATAAAATAAAATAAAAAAAAAAAAGACGTTGCGTATTGCGTGTTCAAACTGTGCAATAACTTCCTGCATCAAATATTTTAACCGTTTGTATTACATTATTTTAATCAGCCGAACGTTACCTGTTACGACTTTGTTAAAAATTTGTCTATCATTTGAAATTTAATATTTTTGGTTTAAATGTGACCATGTCGGTAACGACTATTGGCTAAATCTTGTAACAAAAAAATACGCGATAATTTTCTTCGGCCCTGTTACGGAGTAACACCACTATTCTCAAAATAAAAAAAAAAGGCTTATGATGATTTATGAAAAATTCTAAAAAAACTAACAGGCAAGATGTTGTGCCAATAATTACTATATTAGGAAAGTATCGTTGTACTGTCTATAAAAGATAGGCCGGTAATTTAGGCCGATTGACAATTTGGGGCGTCTTTTATACTTAGTCCTGTAGGTAAATTATTTGTTGATAAACTATTTTGGGAATTTAAATGCAACAAAGATTCTCACAAGAAGATAAGAACTTAATAAATTCGACTGGACAAAAGATATTATCTCCGCTCGGTTTACAATTTAGAAATGTGAATCGCCTTGGAGACGACCATTTCAAATATAGTTTGCGTTGCGAAAATTCTTTCCCACAGTAAAAATAATGAAACTTATCATTTAGAACTATACAAATTTTAATTCCAGTTAATTTAAAGGAATTAGTTAATTTACTTGTAGAAATTTAATTTATATCTTTCGCTTGGATCTGTAGTATTGTAAGATTTTACGTGTTATCGCTCGTCTATTTACAGATCACAATATAACTTAGCTAATTTTACATCGCATAATACGATCAATTGTTTCATAAATAAAAAATTTGGTGATGTTCAGACCAATTTCCCTGTATAAGTTAATTTGAATAACATGTCTCCGTCAAATTTATTACGGATAGACTAAATAATTATTTTAGGAATAATAAATTGATTAATAAATCCGAGATTCTTTATCATTGCAAATTTCAATTATAGCGAAGATTTTAAAAAAGTAGAAATCGTGAAAAATCTAGTGATTTCCTATAATATAGTGATCAGTGTATGTCAGCTGTATATTCGAAAATAACATTAATTTTATGAAATTTCCATTTAAAGTTAAAATACTGAATTATTTTAATAAGCAGGATAAGCATATAAAAATTAGAAATGCTAAAAACATTGCTACACAAATAATTAAAATGTATTTATATGAAATAAATGTTCATTTTTAATTTAATTCTTGTACTAAAAAAAAAATCAATAAATATTTCTTTTTAAATAATAAATTTTAAACAAAATTACAATAATCTTATATTTACGTAGTAATTAGCCGAAATTAGCTGTTTAATCTCGAAATAATATGAAAAGGGTTTATTCAAAGTTTCATTATTAAGATTGTAATGAAATTTTTGAATAAGTTTTTTTCATGATCCATTTTGTCACGAAACTTGTGTTTTAGCTGATCTTTACCAAATGCGATTGTTTAAACAATTAATTGTAATTTCTATAACTTTATAATCCATCTGCATGCAATTTTTTCAATGTTTGATCATTAGCGTTCGATCATTGTTAAAAAATTTGATCATTAAATCACCAAATTACCTTAAATTGATAATATGTTCTCGTTACTTCGTTTTGTCAAATCTTATCGGTAAAAATTTTTAGAAATTTAGGAACGAACGCGCCAAAACGCAGGAAAATAATTGTATTTTCAATAACAAAAAATAGCTTTTTGTGCTACACAAGAATATGTATTTACAAGATTGTCATAATCAACGATATCAGCAATCAACCCAATGTCCATCCTAATCACCAGCAGCTAATGATACTCTCCTGATTAGCTAATCATAATCAGCAATATTATGGCCCGCTGTAAGCACAGAAAGTATATACAAAAGTTATTATCTGAATATACAAAAGTTATCATTTGAATATACAAAATTCAATATGCTACCAATTTGGCCAAATCTAGAATTAAAAAAAAATTACTGCTTAATTTGGAAATCTACTATATATTCAAATGATAACTTTTGTACATTTAAATGATAACTTTTGTATATTCAAATGATAACTTTTGTATATTTAAATGTTAACTTTTGTATATTCATATGTCAACTTTTGTATATTCAAATGTTAACTTTATGTTGTATATTCAAATGATAATTTTTGTGTATTAAAATGATAACTTTTGTATATTCAAATAGCCACTTTTGTATATTCAAATGACTACTTTTATACATGTGAATATACAAAAGTGGTTATTTGAATATACAATAGTTAATATCTGAATATACATTTTTGTATATTCAAATGATAACTTTTGCATATACTTTTTGTGCTTACGGCAGGCCATACAATATCAGCAATATCTGATATGATGCTAACGATCAACAATATTCATCAAACCGCGGCCATAATCACCATCACAATTATCAACAGTCCAATGGTAATAATCATCACAACAACAATAATAATAATCTTCGCAATTCCTTTCGCCTCGATCTAATACATTTTCTATATTGCTTAGCATTACTACTAATTTTCCTCAAATTCAGATATTCAGCAAGTTCTTCAGGATTTCGATGATAAAATCTGATTATTAGTAATAAATAATAACTTTCGAGTTTCTCTCAATGTATAATAAGGCTTCGATCTGGATGAAAACAGTTCCGTACACAAAAAAAATCCGGCCCAAAAATAAAAAATTATTTTGAAAAAAGTTTGGATTTACAACTAATCGGCGATAATTCGGGCAAGAATAATAGTGCCGGCCAGGTTTGCAATGTAACATTACTTAATAAAACTTAATAAAAAATTTTTTACCCAGTGAACAAACTATTTTCCTGATGTCACGTGGTCATAATTTCGGCCGGAATTACAAATTTTGGCCAAAATTATCTAAGACGCGGAATTTTTAATTTTGGTATTCTCAATAGTCTTATTGGTAACTCACAACATCGAGTATATATATTAATTGAAAAAAAAAATCTTCATGAAAAAATAATTACAGTATGGTTGATGCGCCATTGGTTCGTTTAAGTTACATTTATTAACCTGCATAAATAGTAATGCAGATCAATAATAAATGAAAAACAATGTATTGTATTATAACAATGGGCGGAGTTATCAGATAACCATTGATAATATGTTCACTGTATATTATATATACTGTATATAAAATAAAAAATTTTATATCGGAAAAAAAAATTTCTTATTAAGAAAAACATTTAAACAATTTAGCTATTTACAATCATTTATTATAAATTCATTTTGTGAATTTTTGAGTTAATACGCCAAATGAATGATGTTATTGATGTAAATAGTGATAAACTTTGACAGAACTTTTTTTTTTTTTACTTTTCTTTTTCAAGTTATGTAGAATTTAGGGATGGCAAAAAGCGTTTTAAAACATGTTTTAAAAGTGTTTTAAAGCATTAAGCACTTTACTAGCCTTTATTACATAATACATATTTACAATAATAATTTAAGCGCTTTATTATATAATATATATTTAGAGTATATCCGGTCCGACCTTGTTGGGAATTTATTTGTAATAGCTTAGTGATACTAGTGATCCTCTACTATTCGTTGAATAAAATGTGCGCTAACTCTTAAAAAAAAAAAAAATTATATATTTTTTAATTTTAAATCTTCTAATCGATCAATTAAATCAATAACTAATGTCATTTCCACAATAATTACACACATTTGACGAGATGTTTTTCGCAACTTTCCAAAGTGCTTACGGACGTCTTCTGATGATGGTCTTCCACGAGAATAATTTTAAAAAAAGGTTGCTTAAAAATACAAAAAAGGTCATTAAAAAATAATTACCATAATCATGCCGATCAATGTTTTAAAACAAAAAAAAAACGTTTTAAAACAATAAAAACTGATTTAAATCGCTTTAAAACATCTTGTTTTAAATCACGTGCCATCCTATCATAACCGAATTTTGGAGAAATATTAGTATGTTTTTTTAATTATATGTTCAGTAGTACATTTATGAGTGATATATGACCTCTATTAGTAGAAAAATTGTTAAAGATTGAAAAAAAAAAATTATTCAAATGTAATAATAAAAAATATATCTGCTTTTATTTATTTATTAGATTTTTTTAATGTATTTATAATTCGTGTATTTTACTAAAAATTGAAAAATAAAGAAAAAACGATTATATTCAAAAAATACATATATATTTTTTGGTAGTCGAATAAGCGGAAAATACAATTTTAAATGAAAATAATGAAAATATAATAATCGTAGATAATAATAAAATAACGCGAAATTAAATAAGAACCCATTTTAAAAATTCTAATTAATAAGAAATAAGGGTATTTTATTGTCAATGTTTGTTTCAATTTATTAAAAAAGGTTCTTCCAATGTAAAGAAATTATCCTATTAAAAATTGAAAGTTTCAATTCGATTCAACGAGTTTTCAATATTGATATATTGTAAGTGACGATAAAATAAAGATAATCATATTATTCGTAAAATGTGATCCGAAAAAAATTTTCGTACCGCAGAACGCGCAATTAAATAAGAAAAAAATTTTGAATTCTATCTATAAATGTGCAACACAAATGTTTCTTTTTGTCCATTATACAAAGAAAACAATTGAAAATACACTTATCAATGAATCCATGTCGAAAGAAGATTCCTTTGATAAGTGAAAATAGATAAATATATAAATCGATCTGCGAGTGTAAGATTTTGCGATAACGAAGTATATACAATTAAAAAAAAAAGAAAGTTGATTTATAAATTCCTATCTTTTGCCAATTTTTTTGATTTAATAGTTTGCCTTAATAAAATGGAATCCTATTGAAAAATTGATTTATCAGATCATTCGTTGTATTTTGTCGAGAAAGGTTCATGATACGATTCAATGTGTCATCATTATTGATGGTCCCTTTCAATTGAGCTCATCTTCGATATATTCCATTTACAATCCGCTTTCTCCTTATTCGATTCTGTCTTCGAGAAATCATTGCCGTGTATTTTAATTTATGTATGTATCTTTTTTTATTTTATTTATTTTATTTTATTTTATTTTATTTATTTTTTTTTTGAAGGAAGAAATAAAAAAAATTATCTTATGGTAAAATCTGTATTTATAATAAAAGCATTTTATTTATTGAACGAACCCAAATGTATCAACTTTAGAAAGAAAAAAGAAAAAACCAGATAATACTGTACACTTCAATCGCGCTATGCAACTACATACGTTACTGCTGACGATCAAATCAAAAGGCAATCTTCCAATTTAGAAATGCAAAAAGGATCAAGATTAGGATACTATAAATTGCCCATCTTTAATTGTAATTTTTCGATATAATATAATTTTAAAATTCCTACAGTATTCTAAGCGATCTATGCTCCATTTTATATCCCAATAATTCCGAAAAAATAATCTGTATTTAAATTATTGATTACAGTATCTTAACGATCCACGTTCTAAATATTTTAATTTAAATAATCAATACAAGTTAAATTTTGATCCCGATATTTTTCGATGATGTTTTAGTTAACCTCTCTTTCTATAATATAGATAAAAATGATTTTAAAGCAAATATCCCAAAGATTAAAAAGATTTACTAATAGTTTTAATGAAAACGATATAATCTTGTATATATTTGGAGAACTTTTCATGCAAAAGAAAATTCCAAAATTGCTTTATAATATAAATTATTTGCAAAGCTTAAAATACTACACAAACACATTTTTTCATAATCATTAAATATTACTACTAATTACACCCATTTAATACCTAAAGTTAAAGTTTGGACTATTTAGCTTCTCAAGCAGCCCTGGTGATCGAGAGAGTTTTAAAGTTTTTAACTAAATAAAACAAAAACCCGCTATTCCAAGCTAAATTTTTACGCTCTGACGCTCAAATTGTAAGAAAGGTTTGAAACATCTCTTAAATCAATTAAATAAAAGATTCTCATTTAGTACACCTTATCATGTTCATCTGTAATTTCCAGTTTCATCAAATTCCAAGAAGCTTCGAAACCGTAGGTTATTGGTTCGACTCCAATAAGGTGTCCCACTCCGCATTCCTACAAATTGAAAAAAAAGAAAGGAAACATTAGACTTTTCTTAAATAAAAATACTTCCACTTAAACAGCCTTACTAACCTTATGTTCAGTTCAGTTATTCATTCAAGTCTTCAAGAATTGAAATCCAGCATGTAAGTATCTCCAATTCTACATAATGAATAAAAGGGAAGGGAAATATTAGATACTGTATATTCTTAAGTACTTAAATATATATCTGTGATGTCCAATTCTAGTATGTGCGAGGTGAGATAAGCGATGCAGGCAAAAGTACTTTTATAACTTGAAGTTCTCTTCTTCAAATTCATCTATTCTATATCATTGAAGAAAAGTATTAATATATATTAGAAGGTCCGTCGCGTCTGATGTACAAGAAATTATAAATCACGTGTAACAAATTAATAAAATAATGTGATACAAAATATAAAAGGAAATAAGCAGGGGTAGTTAGATTCAAAATGACGTAAGTGGATGGAAGGTGGAAAATTGCATGGGTCACAGATCTAGTAAAACTCATTTATTTATTTATTTTTTTTCTTATGAAAATTTCAAAACGTTGATTTGATGGATTTTCGTTGATTAATACAAATAATTATTAAACATTAACTTACATTTTCTGTCAAACAGTCTTAACCCGATTCTCCGATATGTTGAGATTTATATATACTTATTTATCATTGACTGTTTATCGAATATGTAAACCTCAAACGCCAACATTTTCTCCTCACAAAAATATTTGCCATCCAGTTACGAAAAAAAAGTGTACACTATAATGTTATAATAATAAGTTGATTGCTGCACCGCTACATGGCCGATCAAGATAAGGTACGTTCTGTATTTTTCTTGTGATAATCTATCAGCCCTAGATGCATAGTCACGATCGTGATAATAGGTAATAGAAGATTATATTAGCGAAAAACATACATCTATCTGGTTCTTATATTATTGTTATCAATAATTAATTAACGTACCGATTCCTCATATAATATGAGGAATTCCTTATAGTTAAAGAAATAGATTCATCACAAGACGAGTGGGTGACTAACTTGAACACTCCATCATAAAGGGTATATCACGTAATCCTATAACCCTAGGTGTTGACTAAAAAAACTCATTATATCAAAAATAATTCCATTCATCATATAAGGGAATAAAATATTTTCTTAAAATATTGGCTGATAAATGTAATTAACCAATTAATTAACGTATTAAAGAATACTATTAAAATCACGTTAAACTTAAAACTCAATTATTTATACCAATTTGTCAACACAATTTCAAATTCCATGAGTGGTATTCAAATCAAGCTCTTCCTCATCACGCAAATAGCAACTCCAACTGACATCATTGAATACCGAATCAAATGGTAAAGGATGATGGTGACGCGACAGTAATCCTTAAAAAAGTATTCATCTTTTTTTTAAAAATAAATAAATAAATAAATAAAATATCCTTAAATAGTAGCTTACCTTTTTTCCACAATTAATTATCCGATTAGTACTACCAGGACAGTAACCGAAATATATACAGTATAATATAACGAAAAATTACTGGACCCACCAGATGATCACCAAATCTTACAAGTCTCACTTTATCAATACAAGATTGAATGCCTGCTATTAAATATAAAGATCGCATATCATTCCAATCTGTAGTGACGCCAGTGAATGGTTCTACCTTGAAGTACACCATCACCGAATAACTTTCATCTGTCTATAAAAAAAAATCAATCAATAAAAATATCTTTAAATGATTATTTAACATTTGAAGAAATCTTACCATCCAAATAAAACTATAGGTTCTATAGCGCAAATCTTTCTTTTGACATCAGTATAGTTGGTAACATAAAGTAAAGCCAACATATGATTATAATTAATAATAAATATGAAGTTCGATCGATGTTACTAAATTCTGGCGTTTCCGCCGAAATTTGACATGCTCGACGAACTTCACCGCCACTACCATCATCAGCTGAATCAATTAAATAGTCCAATTTACGACATTTCTTGTCATATTCATTATTTTCTGATATAGCATCATCGGATGATGATGAATGATCCGAGTGACCCGACATACGAAAAATAATGTATGTTGTTATGGTAGAAGTAGGAAGTATGTAATCCACAATCTATTAAGAAATTAAATTTGATTAAAATAGTTATGATTCGATGGATGCAATTTATTAAATTAGTATAATAGTAATTTAATTTAACAATAAAAAAATTAAATGGTAGTTACCTAATTTCATTTTTATCTAATTGATAACAGATAATATTTGATGTAAAAAAAAGATTTATACTGATTTTAACGTGATTCAGCATTCGTGATCACGTGAACGAATTTGCATGGAAGTAAATGTCTTTTCGTTTTGAAATAAATCTATTATAATGAAACCTATTACAATTTAGTCAAAGTCTTAACTAGCTTTTTGTAGCACCATATTCGTGAACCTTAAAAAAAAAAAAAATATTGAACTATATACCAAAAAAATATACAAAGAAAAAAATGGTTTCCTTTATGCAAGTAGAAACTTTTAATCATGAGATAAATATTAGAAACTAACTGCAATAATATCGAGAAAAAAACAATTATGAATCATGCGAGATGGCATGCTCGCGTTTATTTATTTTTCTTTTTTTATTCTCACGTTAAAAAGATTTCCCACAGTAAACACTTATATATTGTGTAGCGGTTCTTATATACCGTAGCCTGCTCCTCGTTTACCTTCTCCTTTCTCGTTTCTCAAACTAATCGCTAATATGCAAAGTTTGGATAAATCACACATGCAAATTGGCAATTTTATTTAAATAGATGTTGGCACATGTTCTCTACATTACTGTCTAAACTTAGAATAGAGAAATTAACTAAATAAAGGTATGGTCTCATTGACACTGTGCTTAAAATAGAAATCAAAATTTCATTGGCCGGAAAGAAAATATTTTACCGGTAAATTCTTATATTCTGGATCTTTACCCGGCTAATTTTTATTTATAGCGTCTAAAAAAAATCTCTACCTGGGTCACCTGGCAGATGGACCCGGGTGAAAGCCAGGTCAACCCAACCCGTCAACCCACCCGTAATCCATATAAAAATTACTAATTATATATTAATTTCTTTTGTTATATAATAGCTTTATGATCAAAAAAGACAAATTTTATTTATATTTCAAATATTATTAACTACAAGCTTTACAATATAAACTATTTCTTTTAACAAATCTAATGAATATCATCTGATACTGTACAATTCCAAGATAACTTCATCATTTTACTAATTTATTAATAATTAATACTAAACGGGATTACGGGAACTTTAATGACTTACATTGATCAATAAAAAAATTTAATTAACAACAAGGACTATACAGGTGACCCGACGGGTAATCTGCCAGATTGACCTGAAGGTTAACCCGCGGATACCCGCCCACCACGGGTAACCCGGGTATAATCCAAACCGGGTCTAATCTCTACATTTTTAAGATGACTCCATATATTATCCGGTAAATTTCAACAGATTTAGGAAAAATCCGAAGAAAATACGTGGTAGTTTACGTAATAATGTATCTGTTAATAACTTTATTTATACTATTAAAAAGGTTAAAAATTTAAATTAAGGTTTCGGGATTTATTTTCATTTGAAAATCAATAATTTGTGAACAATATAGGATTGGTTTCTATTATCCGTTATACAGTATCTTGCACGTAGATGAAGATACTGTTATTGATGGTGCATGATTTTTCTCTCTATGGAATTTCATTGAAATTGACCACACGAAACAAATTCGCACTTTAAAGTACATATTATAATACAGTTGATAAAGAAAACAATAATTTCAACAATAAAGGTAAGTATAAAAGAGCCCGCGAAATTTTTTTTTTTTCAAAAAAAAAAACTGTATACAGTATATGGTATATAGACAGATACACATATGAGTAATATAACTAAAATAATTTTGTTACCTTCGGTTAAATAAAATGCATAACGGAAGGCATGAAAATATTAACATATGACAATGCTTACTTTAAAGTAATACATGCCTATATGCTTTATTATTAAATACATACTATATTAATATTTATTATTTTTGTACAATGTAGAATTTCCAAATAAATAAAATAAATACACTTTAAATATACATATACAAAGTAACAAAGAAAACGCCTTCTCAAAAAAGACATAGAATATACAGAAGACTTATTCGAACTAACGTACCAATTAATTATCAATAAATTTCAATAAACTACAATTGATTTTTGATCGATTTTAATTTTAACAATTAAATGAGACTAATTTGGAAAACACTATTAATTAGAGAACACTATATTTAGTTAGTTTTCATCTAGTAAGTCAATCATTTTATTAGTCATGCGCAGGTATGTAGTTTATAGTATCCCATGAAATGCCCCTCGCGTAAAAAAATATCGTCTCAATATATTTCTTTATAATAACTATCAAATATGACAATTTTAATATCGTCTTGATAGTCACGTAGTTTGGTATAAAAATTTATATTAAATTCTTTAGTGTTGATATTGATGTACCGAAAGCATATTACTATTATAGATTATACGATAATCAAGATTTCGGTCCCCTCATATCTCCTCATTGAAAACTAATCTGTTTCATGGCCAAAAAATGTTACTGTATTTCTTTGTTAAAATGATCAAATACGAAACAATGTGTTACGTACATTCTTATTTTTGAACATTACAAAACCTGTTTCCTAAACATGTATTAAGTATTAACTGCATTGTTATTGTGTTAATTGTATTGTAATTATATAATAACTGTATAGTAAAGTAGTAGCTGCATAGTGAAAATATGGTAAATATGCGGTTACTGCATAATAAGTAAAATAAAGAACTTTCTTGAGTACAGCACCCTTTAAAATATAAAATATGTAAAATATGTGGAATTTTATCACTGAATTGAAGATATATACATTATAACAGATTTTCTCAGATAAAAATTATTCTAATATACATATTAAGATAACAAGATGTAAACCCCTATTCTATCAAGATCAATATTTTTGCTGGGGAGTGTAAGAAAAAAAAAATCGTTTCACCGTTTTGAAATGGTAATGACAATGTCTGTTTTAGTATCGCTCCAGATGCTCCATGCAAATCTTTACTTGATAAAAAAAAATTCACAGGATTACGTAAATTATCGGACAAAAATTGACGATCAATTATAGAACAATTACAAGATTACAAGACAATTACCAGATAAATTGATATTATATAGCAGAATTTAAAATTCTGAAAATAACTGTAATTTAAAGAAAAAATAGTAGATTATATGAACAAAATTTTTAACATATTTTATAAATAATGAAATTTTTCGTTTGTATGATGTTAAGAATTATATTATATCACCTTTATTGTTGTATATATAGTTAAATGCTTTTCAGTTAAAATTACTTAAATTGTAATTATTTTCTTTCAACAATGAACATCCACAACGAGGCAAACCCGATCTGCAAAAATTGTCCAAGAATATCCGAACTATTTTATGAAATGCATTTGGATCATTTTATTACATAAAAAAATAATTTACATAAGATGGTTTATTTATCGCTTACTTAATCCTTTCTGAAAATCTTTTAACTGGTTATCCGAAATCATTCGGTATACCTTGTTATCAATGTTCTTTATTTAACCCATTTATAATATTACCGTTTATTTGTTCCGTATAAAAAGGCCAATATCCTTTACACAGTATATTGAATTTCCATTTTTAGGCACAAACCATTGTTTAAATTCTTTTACGTTGTTTCAACTTTCATTTCCGTAGTTTTAAGTCATGCAAGTGCAAATCTGCGGAATTTGTTTCCGATATACTAGTAGAATAAAGAAAATCAATTTTATATCATACCATTTCAGGTATTTTCTCGCCTAATTTTTTTTTTATCAGTCGAAATAAAGTCTGTCATTCCGAAGCATCCAGACAACAAACCTTATTCATATTCCGAAAAGTTGATCAAGATAATAAATGGTATATCAAAATTTTTCACTTTGGTTATCTACTTTCTTGGCAAGTCCACCTGATCTGCAGATAGATAAAGAAGTGGTGGAACATGATTCACTTTTAATAATTTATTACGATGTCTTAGCTTGCTAACTTTATATATAAATACGTCGTTTTTTCGTATCTATTTTTTTTTTAGTTTTTACTTCCTCTTTAAACATAAGTACATACATTATACGAACGAAAATGCCTATTCAAAATAGACAGAAACAAATAAGAAGACAAAGAATTATAAATAGAATATATAGAAGACATATTCAACTTAACGTACCCATTAATAATAGAGACACGTTAAGGCGCATCGCGGACCTTCCTCAACAAACTACAAATGACTTATCAATTGCTCAATTTTTCAACGGATTTTCTTTTCACTGACTTTAACCAAAAAATAAATTTAGAATTATTAATCGGAATTTTTTTTTATTATATACAATAATACACGTACTACCTAAATTATTGGGGAAAACGTGCCACTTTTCACTTTTATAAACCGTTCTCTTCACTTTTAATTTTTTTAACGAAAAAATTCCTGTTTTATATATCTTACCCTTGGTTTTTTTTTATTTCATCCAACCATCCATATGTAGTAATATGAATTCTTATAATACGATAATGCCAATTCTTTTTATATTTATAATGTAATCTTCTCAATTTATTTAAAAATTTCAATTTAATTTCCATTAAGATTATTAGTTTCCTGAAATAAGACGTAAAATACTATAATTTTCACTTTTATAAATCGTTCCCTTTTCACGAAATAATTCCTGTATTATGCACTATATATATCTTACCCTCGATTTTTTTCTTATTCCATCCATTATATAATAATACGAACCCGCTATGATACCATAATACCCTGACTTATATTTATAATGTAATCTTCTCAATTAAAAATTTCATTTTAATTTTCATTAATATGATTAGTTTCCTGTAATAAGATATGTATACCATGCTATTATGAATATTGAAATATTTTGTAAAAGATTATACAATGATAATCAGTTTGCAAATTAATATTATATAATAATTTAAAATCCACAATTG